TCACGAATATTTGGCCATTTACACCCTCCAATGAGATTTCTTATTGAGCTTTTCTTCCATTCCTGGACATTCACTGGGTTATTTCCAATAAATCCTTATCCATCTATCACACCACACACAAACCACCGCTTCCTAACAATATGATTTTTAAATAACGCTTTATGCGCTTTGACCCTTATCATACCACAAATATGCATGCCATCCAATATACACACATCGTCTAAACCACGCTATAAAAAAAAATGTTCTTGTTTTCAAGAATAGCCATCAAAACACAAAGCTGTCTATTCATTAAAGCAAATATTCTGCAGGGCAATCACCTCTCCTCTATATATATTAAATTTTACTAGTCTTCTTGCCCTGCAATGACAAATCTAAATGAGCTCTCTCCACCTAAACAATCCATTTCCACAATTTGCAATGCCTGAAACAGAAACAACATTTCTAAAGGCAATACATCATTTTATAGCAGCGATTACCACCCCCACAGTCCCACCAAGCTTCCCAAATGAACCAATTCTAAATCTTTTTCAACTTCAACCCAAGCATTTCATCACACACATACAATCTATCTCTATCGATCCCCAAGATACTTTCTAACCACTGTAAACCTGTCATATCAAACCTCTCCTCTCTATTGGGTGTAAATTTCTCCTTAAAAACCTTGGTTTTTACTTATCAGTTTAAAACTCCTCAACTGACCAATATTCTGAATCATTCTAAGACCCTTTGTATACAGATTCGGCTCCTAACATCAATACTAAATCACCCCGCAATTATCCTCTCCCTAATTTTATTTTGCTCCACTCTTTGTATAACCATTTTAACCAATATCTGTCCCTTTTAATCGATATCAGCAAAACTCTCCATTAATCCAAACTCAAAACACGCACCAAATGGCCACGATAATTATCTATATATCTCCACCATTATATCTATATATATCTATATCTCTTGCTCTTATAGATATTGCATCTATACCGTTTTCAAAACCTTGGCTACCCCATACCCGTAAGTCTTTCATAAAAGTCCAAAACATGTTGTCCAAAAGCTTCTCCCCCTATCCAAATCAAATCATTCATATAATCTCTCCACCACCACCTCACGTAGTCCTAAAAATGTAATTATATTTTCCACATCACATAAAGCTTCCTGTATATAAAGCCCTGTCTTTATTATCTCTTCCACTAACACCTTTTTATCTTTTTAGCAAGATACCTAATTTCCCCTCTATAACACGCACCATTTTTTCTCCTAAAAAGGAATTAAATGTCCCCTTGCATGTTATTAGTCTAATGTGTGTCTCTCTATATCCGAAGTATAGATCATGCAACAAATCAAATCGCGCTCACTGGGAGAAGGTGAATAAACCTGAAAAGAGGAATCGCTGCTCTTCCTGCATTCTGCCTCAGGGCTACTCCACCCTCCTGTTCGTGCTGGTTTGTATCTCATATATCTCTCCAACAAAACAGGAAAGCCCCTACCTCCAGGCATAGCAGAGAAAGCAGAGGTTTCCGACGCAACCCTCTGCCTCCGGTGTGCGGGGAGAGGAAAAGGGGAGTATAGAAGAGAGAGAGAGATGAAGAGAAAGAGCAGATGCTTCTTTTGGCGGGGAAAACTTTGACCTTTCTTTCATTCCCTCCGTTAAATCCCTCTCCGCAGGCAGCTCATCTATCTCCCACCAAATCAGATGCGTGAGTCACAGCCACCCAGCTCGTCGACAAGTCGCGGTCCTAGCGCAGGAAAAAGAAAAAAAAAAACCCCACCGCACAACATTCAAATCATTTATGAAAGGACATAACTTTTAAATCCTCCAAGTCCAGAACATCACAACGTATGAATAATTGGAAGTTGGTTCACGGATTACATCATGAATATATACACCCAAATGGGTACACTAATTACATTATAGGGAGAAAATATTAGACGAAATACAACAGATAAACATTTAGTCCGTTGAACAAGGCCAGATATGCATCGTCTCCACACGGAGAAGGTTATGCGAAGCCTACAGATAAGAAGTTCCTTGTACTGCCCGTCGTCGGATAGGAATATAATATATTCAAAGAGCTGGTTAAGCCAAGCAAAAATAGATATGGTTGATTTAATCAATTCAAATTCCTATTGTTACTTTCCGTATTGGTGATCAAAGCGGAACAAAATGACACAGTAGCAAAGAAATTTTGACATTTTTCGATCTCTGGTTTGACCATGTTCTCCAGTGGCGTCACACTTGCATAGGTTCAAGACGGCATCCAGAGTCCTGCAGGATGAATGCAGGCTATTGCTAAGAGCAATAGAAAAGCGAGATACGAAGCCCGGCTACTCTCTAGTATGAGAAAACCATAAAAATGACGGTCGGCAACTGCGCCAGACGCATGCGCCTTTTAAACCTGCTCGGCTCCGCGAGGCAAGGGGGGAGGCGAGAAGCCATTTCTGCGAAACGCAAAAGCCTTATGGATACTCTTTATACTGGGGCCCTTGATCCGCCGAAAACTCCTGTGATTGCTTGCTCTACAAGTCATTCGCTGCTGGACCCTCCTACCCAGCCATCGCCGATTTACTTTCCTGGGACCGGCCGCTCGAAGTGGGGCGATCAAGCCGTCGGTGAATTTGCTTGTTTTGATGGGGTTTTTTTCTTGGAGCTGGCGCCGAAGAGAGGAGCTTTCTGTACGCGGGCCCCCACAAGTAAGTCTCGCATTGTCAATGCGCACATTCCTCCTTTTATCCTTCGCCTCTGCTTTCCCAAGCTTGAATCACTTGCTGTTCTGTAACCGATCGTCCACACCATCTTATCTGCCATGTCTTCTGCGCCCATTATATAGAATCACTGGATTAGTGCTGATTATTCCTACCCCTTTAAACTTAAGCAGAGTTGAATACTAACACTTCCTTGGAACGTTGCAAAGCTTATCGTCTTTGTCGCGCCTTTGAAGCAGCCATTTAAAGGGCATATACATGGTCATGTTTGAAGGGATGAAACAACCCAAAAAGGTAACTTAATTTAATTATTCTACGAAAGAATACAGTCAAACAAAAAATAATAAAAAGTGTCAAAAAGTATTTTTATATAAGAAGCCTTATAATTATATTTATACACTGATTAGATTTAGTAACTCCTGATTAATCTATGGATTTGGGCATTATTATTGTGTAAGGTATATTACTCTGCAAACTGCGCTCTCAGGCTAATTCCTTTTAAACCTCGCTGACAGCCACCCGTAGCTTTCAGTCTACAATCCCGGCGTCTACTCTCCAATAGAAGCGCGACCCATCCCTCCTCTCACTGCAGTCTCTGCCAGGATGTATGAGACTGTGTTACTCATGTTACAAGAAGAATCCCGGAGCTCTCTCTCGTTCCCCATCTCCCCTTATCCCTTTGTTGGATTTCCTTCCCCCTCTACCAAGCTGCTTCTCCCCCTGGTGCTGGGTCCTTCGCCTGCAGAATCTGGGAGCCTCCCCTTCGCCTCTCGCTCTGATGTCAGTTCCCTGACATCGGGTATAGCAAATTTTGCTATGGAGCCCTCTGATTTCTAATTACGTCCCTGTTTTGGACCCCCGGTAGGCCAGCCATGGATAAAGGCAAGAAAAGAAAAATTTCTAAAGAAAACAGAATGTTTAATGATACATGGACAGAATCATTTGCATTCTCTACTGACAAGACTGGTTTACCAGTATGCTTAATATGTGGTGAGAAATTTGCAAACAACAAAAAGTCAAATATTGCAAGACATTTCCAGAATAAACACGCAGCCTTTGCTGAAAAATATCCAGATGGAGATGAGAGACGAAAAGCCATTGCAGAACTTATGAGGAAGGTTGATAGGAGCAAAAATAATTTCAAGAATTGGGTGAAGTCTGCAAATTCCACAACATATGCTAGTTTTGTAGCCGCTCAGGAAATAGTCAAGCACGGGAAGCCGTTCACAGATGGAGAGTATATAAAAGAAGCATTCATTAAGGTTTCGGAACATCTATACATGGACTTCAAAAACAAGAATGAAATTGTGCAGAAAATCAAAGACATGCCTCTGTCTGTGAAGACTGTTAAAGACACAACCCTAAAAATGGCAGAAAACATTAGCAAACAGCAAATTCAAGACATTAATTCAGCTGTGGCGTACTCCATCGCCTGTGATGAGTCCAAAGATAAAGGTGATATTGAACAAATAGCGCTGTTCTGCCGATATGTGAACTCTTTTGGGCCACAGGAAGAACTGATTGAGCTGATACCACTAAAAGACCAAACAAGGGGTGAGGATATCTGTAAGGCTGTCCTGGACTTTTTAAGTGCTAAAAAAATAAACACCAACCACCTGGTCTCAGTGGCTACTGATGGGGCACGGAGCATGAGAGGAGCACAGAAGGGCTTTGCGGCTCTACTGCAGAAGGCACTGGGTAGAACACTGCTGTCATTTCATTGCATCCTGCACCAAGAGGCATTGTGTGCTTAAACATTTCCCCCCGAATGCACAAAAGTGATGGATGTGGTCATTCAGATTGTTAATAAGATAATGGCAAAGGGTTTAAACCACCGCCAGTTTTGTTTGCTATTGGATGAGGTGGAAAGCACATATTCGGACTTCCTGCTCCACAACAAGGTCCGGTGGTTGTCCAGAGGCGAGGTGCTAAAACGCTTTGTCACATGTTTGGAAGAAGTAAAAACTTTCCTGGCCAGCAAAGAGCTTACCTTTGCTGAGCTGGAACAGCCAGAGTGGCTGGAAAAATTACATTTTATGGTAGACATGACAGCCCATCTAAACACGCTAAATACAACCCTTCAGGGGAAAGGAGGCACAGCCCTGCACATGCTGGAGGAGGTTTTGGCATTTGAGCGCAAGTTGACAGTGTTTGTCAAAGATTTCCAGAGAGGTACACTGTCTCACTTTCCCTCTTTGAGAGAGTTCAAACAAAGTCATGATACGATAAATTTGGAATATTTCAAGTCTGCAATCACCGCAATGCAAAGCTCATTTGGGAAACGATTCTGTGGGTTCAGAGAGGGAAAAAAACACATTCTCCTTCCCTGTCACTCCCCTGGCGATCGATCCATCCCTATTGAATATGCCTGCATTTCCAGGTGTAAGTCAACCTGATCTTGAGCTGGAACTGGCCGATATAGCCGACAAAGATATATGGGTGTCCAAGTTCAAATGCTTGACCGCTACTCTTGAGGATGTTGCCCGTCAGAGTTGAAGAAGAAAAAACTGGATGTAACTTGTATACAAGAGACTCATGTAGCCAAAAAACACAAACACACATATTAGTGAATAAGAACCTGGGAAAAGAATTTATAAATTCCGGGAGAGAGAAAAAAAGGGGATTAGTAACGTATGTTATGAAAAATGGGAACCCAAACTGACCTACAAGGATGAGGATGGAAGGATACTGGGGGTTCAAATAAGCTTCCAAGGAGAAAAGATTGATGTAGTAAACATCTATGCCCCAAATACAACAGGTCAGAATTTTACAAAAAATTGGAACAAGTGTTATTAGATTTAGGAAATAACAAGACGATATTATTGGGAGACTTTAATGCAGTGCCGACATTAGAAATGGACAGACAAACAGAAAAGAGAAAACGAAAAACAAGGGAAATTACCGGAATCATTTCAAGACCTGGAGGAGAATGGACCTAACGGATGTATGGAGACACAAGCATCCAACAGAAAAACAGTTTACTTTTTCTCAGAAGTACATAAAAGCTGGGGAAGAATAGACAAATTTGGGCCTCAAGAGAAATTAGTTTAAGAGCAATAAAATGTGAAATTCAACCGAGAACCTTTCCGACCATAACTCAATAATTTTGGAAGTAAAAGGAATCAAGGGGCTTCAGATGGAGACTGAATTCTCTGCTTGGACAACGATGAGGTTATCGAAAAGCTAAAGCCACATTAAAAGAGTATTGGGACTGAACCTCAACACGGGAACAAAAATAGAAACAGTCTGGGACGCCAGTAAGGCGGTTTTAAGAGGTTTTTTCATCCAGCAAAAAATAAGAAAAAAATAAGGCAGCAAAAGACAGATGAAATACTTAAACAGCTGAGGGAGCACGAGAAGAAATTATCAGAACCCCGAAAGACGAGCAAAGCTTACAATCAATAAAAATACTACAAAGACAATACTCAATACTAACGAACCAGAAATAGAATGGAAAATCAAGCTAATGAAGCAGAGATACTTCGAATCGGCGAATAAAACGGGAAAATTCCTAGCCTGGCAATGAGAAAAGACAGAAGCAGAATGTCATAAATAAAATAATGGTAGAAGAAGAATTAATAGTAGACCCAAAAAAATACAAAAAATTTTCTCAAATTTTATGAGGAGTTATATAAGAAAGGAGAAGAAACCCAGCGCAAATAGAAAAATATTTGAGAAATGTACAGGGAAAACTGTTACAGAAGAAGAAAGAACCAATAAACAGTCCCATTAGTATGGAGGAGATTGAAAATGCGGTTAAAAAAATGAAACTGGGAAAAGCACCAGGCCCGGATGGGTTATCGGCTAAATATTATAAAGTTTGGGAGGTCAATTAGCACAAGTACTCTGTGACACCATAGAACAATATCTAAGAGGAGGGGAAATACCCGAGTCATGGAGGGAAGCTTTTATAACTCTAATCCCTAAACCAGACACGGACAAATTGAACATGAAAAACTTCAGGCCAATATCGTTATTAAATAACGACTATAAAATATACGCGGACATCATGGCGAGTAGGTTGAAAAAATGCTTAACTAAGTTAATCCATAAAGATCAAGCGGGTTTCCTCCCAAATAGATTCCTGAAAGATAATGTGAGGCACGTAATTAACTTAATTGAATATTTGGAGTTTAACAATAATATTCCGGCGTCCCTGATCTTTATAGACGCAGAAAAGGCGTTTGACAACGTCTCCTGGCGGTTTCTGTTAAAATCAATGGAAAAGGCAGGGATTGAGGGCGAATACCTGAAAGGAATACAAGCAATATATTCACACCAACACGCCAAATTGATAATAAACAACAATATTACGAATAGATTCAAAATAGAGAAAGGAACAAGGCAGGGATGCCCCCTCTCCCCGCTTTTATTTATTTTGGCTTTGGAAGTCCTGGCGAACAAAATAAGGTCAGAAACGGAGATAAAAGGGATCAAAATAGGATTTAAAGAGTATAAATTAAAAGCTTATGCGGACGACCTGATGTTATCCCTAGAAGAGCCGCAAAAAGCGTGGGCAAAGCATTGGAGATTATGGAGGAGTACGGCAAAATATCGGGCTTTAAATTGAATAAAACCAAAACAAAAATGTTGACGAAGAACTTGAGGAATGATCAAAGGAAAGATTAGAGAGACAATATGGAATTAAGGTGGCTAAGAAATTAAAATATTTAGGAATTTGGCTTACGCCCAAAAACATAAATCTAATTGAAGACAATTATACGCCAACTTGGAACAAAGTGAAAAAGGATTTGGATGTTTGGAATAGAGCGAATCTCTCGTGGTTGGCAGGATGGAAGCAATAAAAATGAATATACTCCCTAGATGTTGTTCCTATTTCAAAAATATACCGG